TTTGCAAGATGAAATTTGTAAACTTTTCATGTTCAGCTGCACCCAGGTTCCGGCGCATCAGGCGAATTTTCTTCTCTTCTGGGACATTTGCGGAATCAACACAAAACATGTCTTCATACTTGGGAAATCAGGAAGCGAATGTCACGCCAGCATCCGCATCATAATCGAATTCTCTGATGTGCTGTGTCAAGGTTTCTGAAAAGGGAACAATTTCACTGTCCCCTGACCCAGAGTTGGACTGTATCGACAACTTCTGCGACAACACCTCAATGAGTTTGGCCTGCTGCTACAAAAGTGCCTGCAATTGTTCGAAGCTGGCTGCCATTTTTGCGTTTGACTGAAACCCACATCGCCACTGTTTGTAGCACTAATCCATGTCACATTCCTATGCTGTGGCCTCCGAATAAAAACGTAATAAAACGGTGTCTTACCAAACTCCCAATCAATGGATTTATACTTTTAATACATGAACATCTCTGGCATTCTACATAAGTCTATGGTGAGTCCACCAAAACGCTTTTCATTTTATCATGAAAGTTTTACTTTCGCAATAACTTCCATTCCACGGGACTTATTAAGCATTGTTTTTTTTACCTGTAATACACCGTTGTTCCATTGTTCCATATGTGATTGCGAATCCTCAGATGCGCGTTTTAGTTTAGAGTCATATTGTTGAACATATTTAGTTCACACAAACCATTCTACGGTACCTGTCAAGCCTTGGCTTATTTTATCCGTTACGTGTTAGTGCCTACATCTTTGAACTTCCTTGCTGACGAATATGAAGTTCCCGCAGGATTGTTTGACGATGTCGCTTGGGGACGATGACTCGAGAGCCCTAAAGTATGTAATCGTCCTCGCCGCTTAAGTCATCGCTTTGAGTGTGAAATGCTCGTATACCTTTATCTACCGAGTCGGGCCAACCAGTTGGGATATAATCACGCACCTTCGCCAGTTCAGGGTCACTCTTTTCTCTGATTTTATTTCCGTTGCTGTCACTGGCGAATCAGGCAACCAAGATATTAAATGTCCCTCGAAACTAGCGTATGGCTCAGAACCTCCAGTAATGGAGGTCGGCTGAGATGATCGGCATAATGGTTCTCCTTCCCGGGAAGATATTTCATTTGTTCCTGATAGCCAGTGAGTAGTGGGACCTATCTAACCGTCCGGAGCGATGCTTTTCAGGGTATGGCTTTTGATTCGCCTAGAATTCCCATCAGTAGTTTGTGGTCTGAGGGTATTTCAAATGTATCGGTGATAACGGACAACCCCTAAATACGACCACCGAAACGTCCTTGTCAATTTGGGTGTAACTTCTTTGGGGTCTGCGATAGGGTCCGTGAGGCAAATGTAACTGGTTTGCTTACTCCGTTCGTGTCAGGTTGTAACAGGATGGCTGTGCCTCCGTACGGTGATGCATCACATGTCAGCGTTATGTACTTTTCTGGGTCAAAGTGGACCAAAACCGGTGGACTGGCCAATGCAGCCACTCAGTGCCGCTGCATAACCAACGATGCACGGGTGTAACACTGAGGCTGATTGCCGAACAAACCTTGAGTAGTGATTGTACATTCCCAAGAACGACCTCAACTCGTGTTGACTTCCTGATTGTGGTGCCTCAAGGATAGGTTGCGTTTTCTCCTCAATCGTCTTCAATCGCTTTGCACCTATAGGGAAACCAAAATAATCAAGGTGGGGAGTCAAGAACACGCAATTTTCACGTTTCAGCCTCAAACCATTCTCCTTCAGGCGGTCCAGAATAATGCAGTTTGTAGATGTTCGTCAAATGTTGCCCCTGTACGTTAGATCTTCACTAGGTATACAAAAGCTTTAGACAATCCTGTTATGATCTCTATTGTTCGCTGGAAAACGGCCGGAGCCGAATGTATGTCAAATGTTAGTCTGTGGTGTATAAACGGACCGCGATGGGTACGTATCGTCGTTATTTTTTGGTGTCTTCGTGTGGTTCGAGCTGCTGATGAGCGTGCGTGAGATCCAAAGTTGAGAAATATCTGCTGGTACCGAGCTGTGCGTAAACGTCCTCAATTTTCTTGATCGGGTATTTTTCAGCCGAAATACTGTAATTGACGGTAACTTTATATTCCCTACATACGCAAATCGATGCATCAGGCTTGAGCACTGGAACACTTGGTGTAACACAATCCGAAAACTGTACTGGTTGTATGACGCCGCTCTTCTGCAGGCAATCGAGTTCCTCTTCTACCTTCGATCGCATCATATACTGCAGCGATCGAGCCACTGGGTGAACATTCCTTTCTACGCCGTCTCAGATAATGGTGTATATTGCTGGAACAATGTTTGTATCTCCGATGTTAAGTAAAGTTGGTTTATCTGCAGAACTGGAAGTTGATTGATCCAGTCACGACCTATTATGTTTGGACCATCGCTGAGTGTGATGTAAATGGTTCATCGTGTTGTCGACCCTCCATATGACACCTCAACGTTCTGCACCCCAAGAGTTTCATTTCACCACTCGTATGCAATTGCAGAGGCGCCCGACACAGTTTGGTGTGGTTCCTCGGAGCCAATCGCTGTGACCACGTTCGCTCGTTGCACAGTGTTACTGCACTGCCCGTGTCAATTTCGAAATGCACTGGAATCTGGTTAACACAATGCTGCACGTGAAATGGCGGTTGTGTACTTGGGGTAGTTGTGTATGATATATATTCCTGTGGTTCAGTAGCAACCAATGGGTTGTTTACTACCGGAGAACATGGGTTTGCACTGGACCGGCACATTCGGGTCAAGTGTCCACGTTTTTGGTATTTGTTACAAACTGTCTCTGTATGATTGCATTCACTGGGATGACTGTGCAGCAAGTCGCAGCGATAACCGTTGAACGAGCGCGTGATGCTTTTATCAGCTTTGTTGACTTCGATCGGGACATCTTTAGTACATGGATTTGAATTGAGCTTTAAATTCTGCAGTAGCTTGGCATTCCTTTCAACAGTCTTTATACCCGTCGCAACATCATGGTTGGCGGCATCCGGTTTCGGATTTGCCTGTCACTGTGTCAAGCCACAGGACGCCTGCGCCTACAGAGGGACCATGGGTGGCTTGCGCTGCACCACCCACAGCTCCAACCACACACCCCATATCCAGTGTAAACCCGAAGGAATAAGACCGGGAGGCATGTGGATGGGAACCACGTTTCATCAACGGAGCCGGCCCACACTCCTTCACAGGCAAACACAAGCACACTGCATTTGGGGAATCAAGCGCACACAAGGCGGTGGCTGGACCGTAGTCCGTTCCACACTGAGTGCATGGAACCACTCTTCGAGCCTAGCACGGCCACAAGGACCGTGCACCCCGTCCCCCCCCCCCCCCAGCAACGACCAACTGTCTCCTGGAGCCAGTATGGACGAGGTAGTGGGTAATAGACAGGTAGGCACCTTGTCAACATGCACATCAAGCGCAGCCACAACGGGGATAGCACGCAACAGCCAATCACTTGAAACGACAAAATGAAAGAACATAAATCCAATAATGCATACAGATACGGTGGGTGGCATAACTCGTCGCTAAGTTAGCAAATGAAGTAAGTTGGTTAGCAACAAATCCGTGGTAAGGAAACAAATGTCCACAAGTTACGCAAAAATGCTACAAACGCAACAAAATTACCGAAGATAAGCGCAATTGGCGTAAGCGACGTGGCCAGCTAATAGAAGACTATTTAGATAGGCAAAACTAACCAAATAATCTGGAATGAAATTTATGCAGCTTAAAGAGACCTAGTTTAAGTGTAAGTTGGTTTAGCCCAACTGCGGTGAAGAAGCATCAAGAATGCAACATCAGCCTCAGCATGGGGCACAAGATCATAAGCACTTTCTAACCTCAATGCTTTATCAGCCAGCAGGCAGCGTTGAATGCGGACGTTTTTCACGCTGTCCACCAGACGATCCCGGATCATGTCGCTTCGGTAGTTACCGACATCACAATATTCTGTCAACTTCCGAAGCTTGGCAACGAAGGAATCATCTAAATGCCTCTAACCGTGGACTGGGGTATTGAAATTGAATTGCTGCACAACAACTCTTTTGTGATATTCACTTTGCGGTTGTGACTGACGATTTGTATAATATGACTCGCCTCGGTTCAAATCGATCCCACGATTTTTGTCCTGGATCGGCGACGCACTCAAGAAAGTAAACGCATGGGCTTATCCTACTGTTCTCGTCCCAATTTGAACTTGAAATTCCATATTTAAAATTACCAATCGATGCCATGCTGGAGTACCATTGGTGTTCTCTCACATCGCGGTGCATTCAGGAACTGGCCAAATAACAGTCTGAGCAGATTGGACAGGGTGTTCGGCAGGCATAGCGGTGCCGTACGGTCGCAGCAGGTACCGCTGGTTTGTCGAATTTTCTGGCTGTTTGCTGGCTGTTTTTGCCTCCCCCAGTCGCAGTGGCTCCGCGCACCTACACACAGACACACGCACAGATCAGACAGTAAAACTGATAAAATGCGCGTGCGTGAGTCAACGAATAGAGCATCTCATTTAGATAGTGCCTTGTTGGAAACGTGAATATAACACAGTCGAAACCATACTGGCGTATTTAAACTAGTCGTCCTTCGTGGTGCAAGTTTTATTTTTCTTGGAAATTTGGTGTGTAACAAAAGTTTGACGAACCAAATGGTTGACTCTTGACTACGTTTCTCTATTCTGTTTGTGTACGATCAAACCGGTAAGATGTTGCTCCTGTCGTGCTGCTGAATACCAGCGTTTCCGTCCCGCTCGTTCGTTCTCCCATTCCGCTCATCGGAGCATCGTCGTCGTATACCCTTGTCGTCTCACAATGGTTGATGCGTCTATAATCCGTTTATCCAGCTTTGCGTGCCATTTTAATTGCTCGTCCGTACCTCAAAGCTGATTTACCGAATAATATTGCAGGAACACACTAATGAACACCATTAATGTCACCGTCAGTCGTACACTGGCTAATTTGCAGTATGCTTGCAATTCTTTTATTTAGAAAATCCTATTCCTTGAAGGGAGACTGTCAGAAATGCAACAAAGTCACACAATGACAGTGGAAAATGAACAGTATTTGAAAGATAAGATTGAAAATTTGGAATACCAACATTCGAGGGATGGAGCTGCAATCGATAGACTGTACGGGGAGCGAGATCATGTATGTCACACATTTGAGTTTCCGATGCGTCTTCAACCATGTAAGCAAGTAACATTACTTTGCTGTAAGCAAATAAGCGAGAGTTATTTTAAGCGCTTCAGTCTTTCTGTGTAGTTTAACGCTACCATGTTTCAGTTAAACTCACTTATCAATTATCATCCGCACACCGAGGTGTGTAAATCCACTTTCCTCGATTCATTTCATTACTATAGTAATCATAATAGCAATGGTAATAGCAATATTAATAATAATTTATGAGACATAAACAAGAGTTAACCTCGTCTGATGAAGCATTTGAAACTCGGCAATGTAAGAAGCAATGTAATAGCACCACTGACGTCATGAGGTTTCCATATCGCACAAAGTGTCAAATCATTTTCTTCGCCGGTCCTTGGGACTACATCCATGAAAATGGGAAAAAAACAACCCGAGTTAAACTCTGTTCGTTTCTCTAGGCTCTTTGCATATGGCTGGCTGACCACCTCAACGTTTGACCCAACGAAGCACACAATTGACAAACATTACATTTCGAAGTAATTGAGTTACCGATGTACGGAGCACAAGACCGAGCCATCACAGGTGAAATCGATTTCAGCAGGCGCTTTAATGAGACACCAGGTTTTTCCAGGCGCAAACGAGGAACGTCTATGGTTGTCGCTCGGTGCCCCAGCCAAACAGGTCCACTACCTCGCAGGCACCGGTGACTAAACGTCGTACAACGAATGTCTTCAGCGCGTGGACGCCAGTTCACTATTATAGTAATACACAGCACTACAAGTGGCATAACCCCTCTTTTCTTCAACGGATTGCATCCCGCTGTCTCATAAGTATTGTTAGTCTTTAAGAGCTGCACGTGCCTTAGCCATGTTTGCAGTAAACTCTTCGGTGATAACATCTGTAGCGGTGATACGGATACCCAGATAACTACTGATCGGCCGTTTCGAGCGATTGTCCCGTGAGACGCCACAGTTACACTCAGTCAGGCAGCCACTACAGATGCGTGGAAACACCAGATGAGATGCATATTGCTGATGACACCCAAAAGGGTATCAGCGGAAGGCTAAGCGTACGCAGTGAACCACAGGAGGTTTAATATGCCCCACCGCTATCTCTGCAGTCCTCCTTTACATCGACATAAAAGGACAGCTTTCTGCTTCGTGGTGTGCATGTCACGACTGCCCCGAGCTCTATTCACCCCTAAAGAGTGACCTCGCTTGGTAGTATTCTCAACAGCACCAAGGAAATGTTAACACAATAGGCTCCTTGAAGGGTAACGATAAGGGTAGATGGAATAGCGCAGGCAACGCTTAGAAGACTATCGGACGCCATAAAACAGGCCTACTACGCATCAAGCTTACGGCTAGATTTTACGTCAACACCAATCGTGAGGCTTCAGCTCAAAGACAGACCTCCTCGGCCAAGTAATTCTTTCTGCGTATACTCCTTCACTTGTCTATGTCAAGCAAGATATATCGCAAGAACCACCAGGAGACTCTCTGAGAGGATCCGTGGGTACTACTCGAATTGACTGTGTGGAGGTGGAAGGAAAGCAGTGACGAAGGCCGTAGCAGCACATTTAGTTGATTTTGATTACGCAATCGGTACCTACCAATCTTTCCAACACATTTACCGCGTAACCGGATACCACACAAGAGCAGTAAGATGTCGGTTACTAGCAACTGCCGAAGCGATTGCTATCCGCCTCCAGACTTATGTGCACGAAAGATCTTTGTCCGGATCCTCTCTCTACCCTGGCCCCGCATCACAGGGACCCGTGTTAGGGAGCACGTTAATGGCATGTTCTTGGCCGCTTCTGAACCAACCACCTAACTTTGTCCTTCGAATTAACCAAAAGTTGTAGGTCCGCTACGTTGATGATAATTTTCTACTAATCAAAAGCGCTGAATTAGCAGTTACACGTGAGAAAGGTTTAGGAATGGAGTAGGTGACCCTGAAGTTGTTTTCCGTTCCTTCGTGACCGCACTCTAAGTGGTGTGACATGGTGGAGTTGTTAAAAGACCTCCTTCCGCTTCCGTAAAACCACTTCTGAATGTACTCGCGAATCCTATGAGATAGACGCCTCGTAGAACGACCCACGTATCGTGCAACACAGGAGCACAAGTACTGATAAACAAGCATTGATCGAGTCAGTGGAGCCAGTCTATCTTTCAAAAGTTTTGCGTGTGAAGGCTAGTTGTAGCATACTGTGCGTGGGCGAACCGCAAAATCAGTTTTTTGTGTAGCGTCTTTCGAGCGTTTAGACAGGGCATCAGTCGCACTGTCGCCTTTGGAAGGAAGATTCACAATGAGCCCTTTCTTAGGTAAATACATCCTACCTGATCTCATGGCAGACCAAGCTGAGTCATCCGCAGCCACTCCGCATCAAGGTTCCTAACAGTGCAAGCGACATATAGAAGTGGGGCACTTTATACCTGTTAGCACACTGCTGTTACCAGTTTGGGATAAAACACACCTAACAAGGTCCCATTAGACAGCTGATTAGTTATTCGACCCTTCACTGCACAAGCGTACGTTGCTGAATGTAGCTGTAGCTATTTTCTTTAAGTGTTTACGAAATGAATTCTACCTCATGAGCAACGACCACGCTCCCTCTCGACTTTCGTGCATCCCGGTGACTTGGTAGCTCGGAATAGCGCACAAACTGCGACGACTATGTTGATTATTAGTGACAACTGAGAACTGTCTAGCTCGGTTCATGTGGCCGTGTATCAAATATCCTTCTTAGCTGACCTAAGCAACGTTTATCGTAGTCCATGGACGAAATTGTTTGAACTCTAGCTGTCGCAAACCTCTACTCAGTTCAGAAGACCTTCACTTGTTTGTACGTGCTTTAGAGTTCGGTGAGAGTGGGTTCAGTCGTCGCCAATTAAGGAATGCCGTTACCACACGGTGGGCACAACAATGTTGACAATGGAGACGCTAAAAAAGGTTCCCTAGAATTGTATGATGGGGTAAACAATGCTTACATCATATGAACTGAACGAATTTTTCCCTCAGTTGAAGCCGGACTTGAATGATGAGATAAGCCCGTGAGTGTTCTTGCTTCAGCGAATCTTTAAACTAGTTGACAGGGTGATTTAAAATCTTAATGCGGAAACAAGAAACCGTACCAGTCTCTGCACGCAACTCTTACTCATGTAGCCTGCTACCACAATCCACGCTGGGCTACTTACATAGAGAAAAGGGAAATAGAAAAATCAGAAGCAAAAAGACGGGCCGTTAATTAACTAACTAAGGGTCCTTCACAGCGGTTACCAAGTCAGAAATTCCTCTAAACACTTAGAAAATCAAAAGACGGCCGTTTCGTCTTCTCACGACTCGTCAACTGAGCGCATCCCTCAGCTCGATCCGGATCCAAACTCATGACCACTAACGTCCTACGTCACTAGCTATGTTGCTGAGCTCAAGAATGCGCATTGCTGGCGAGTTAGGATAGGGGGAAACGGCCGTCCAGAGCTTCTCATGCCTGTGGACGAATATCTAACTTCCAAGCTGTTATAAAGGGTCCTCGATTGTTTGCATCAAAAATCTCCTGCTCATGAGTGTGTCAAGGATTAGTTACATAATGATAATACCTGGGGGTGAGGGAAATTAAAGAAACTAAAAGCTGAGGATACAGGTCTTTTAGGAGAAGGGGAAGGCAACGCCGTGTCAAGCGCTGCTTTGGAGCTCTGGCTTAGTGACCGAGACGTTAGTTGTCAACTCTTGTATCGTGTTCCCCTTTCAGCTCAGGCTACCACTATTGGACGAGTCCAAATTAGGGGAAAACCGGTCGGTCGTACAGTGCAGTGTTGGGAGAGAGCAACTTTGAAACTCTCCAAGCGTGGAAAGAATACCCCAAGTAGGGTGGCACGAAAGCCGAGAATAAACACACAAGCATGTTAAGGCTCCAAAGGAACGGTGAATAAGCTGTCGTGCGGAACTTCTTACAGACAGCCTTCTTCCAATTGTCAACACTGAGCGCTCAAGTGTAAACGACACCTAGATCAACCTGTTGTGACACCAGGAATTTCACTTCCACAAGCAACATATGGGACATCAGTTGTTACAGTGCGGAGAACGGAACACTACCTGTTTAATGTGCATCAATCATATGTTTTCCCAATTCCAAAGCTTATTCAAGTTACTCAGAAGCGCTTCAGAACCCCCAAGGCCATTCACCATATTACATAGGTTGAGGTCGTCAGTCTAACGATAGCGACAGATGCCTCAAACTCATCAGGCAAACCGGTTACTTAGACTGCGAACAGAAATGGTCCTGCGGAACACCACTAAGAACAGCTTGCCTAAGCGAGAAGTTACACATCACATGCACACACTGTTCTTTCTCCTCCAGAAATGCATACGCACATTTAAGGGTGCGACCATGTGTTCCGTAAGACTTCAACAATAACGAATTCTCTGGTGACCTCCAGCTTCAGCCTTTCCTCCAGTAGGGGATCTGGCCTAGCAATAGCTAAAGCGCAGCAACGCCTTGTGCCCCTCAGAGGCGGGCATATGGAGCTGTTGCATTGTAAAAGACGTTCCACAGCCCAGTCAACGCTCTAGCAATAACACCGCGAAAGCCAGGTGGCAAGTTAGGTACACATATTTTAAATTATCACAGGTCATCCAACGTGCGTTCCCTGTGAAGAGAAGCAGCAAACTCAACAGAGTTCCGGAAAATAACACTGCTTTCTACACGAATCTCTTCGGTGGGGGCGTTTTCGCCCCACAGTTTCTCAACACTGCACCACTTTCAATCGATTTGACCCGGGGGCGGTCGCACTACCCACATTTTTATAAAGTGGACGAATTAACTTGCTCTCGAACTTTGTGCTCCATCTTCAGAACATCGACTTTTTACGCTTCTAGCTTGCCCGGATGTTTACTGACTTTCTAAGCGATGTTTCGCATATTTTTTAATGGACCTTGAAGCATGAGACATAGTATGGCTTTGGGTGGAAACGAGTGAGCTTTTCGGGATAGCCTCATCAACAGCAGTTTTGCTAGCCTGATGACTCGACATAGAGAGAGTGGATGAAATGGGTTTGACACTGCAATTCATTGAGCCGACACTGCTAGAGACCTCATGGGGCGGTTAAGAGAAGAAGGAGACGACGCTCACCCGGCCTCTCTCTAACGGTCGGCAAGTGATACTACCTCACCGTCAGTAAAAGGCGATGGCTTTGGTTGGTGGTCACAGCAGCCAGCATTGCTAAACACTAAGCTAGCACTTGTCGGCCTGATTTCATATTGCTCAGCCTTCAGGTCTTCAGTTGCCTAGATCGCGCTACATACCAATGGAATAGTCCGCTTTAACTTGCCTGTTTTATCACAGAATGCAGTAGATTCGGTTGTCAGTACAACCGAGAACACACCAGTGTCGGCATTCTGTGAAGTCGATGTGACTTTACTCCTAAGTTTATTAGAAAAAGCAAAAAGAACTAATTCGAATCTGTCGCATACTATGAAGTATGCACAGAGCGGTATCCATCAGAATGCAGGATGAAATAAACGAGTGGCTAACGCGACCCACGTTCTGAGAAAATACAAACGCCCTATCACCGCGTTTTAGCTATGTGCAAGTCATACAAACCATCCACATCCACATACTACTAACTCAGTTGACACGTGCTACAAATGATGATTGTCTGGCGATACGTTGCACATAGTCAAAATAGTTGTTGGGATGTTATTTTACGTCATTCACTTTTTACTCTTTCAACGTAGTTGCTTCTACGTACAGCGTTCACTTGTCTAGTGGTTTAGTGCGACTGCTCGCGGCTAACGAAACTCTCCTAGTTGACACTTGGTGCCTCAGGAAGTAACCAGTCATATGAAACGGTCGTCGTGTCGCTGAGAGCTGGAGTTCTATTAGAATATCCAGTGTTTCATAATCATATTTATCTCCATTTCAGCTACACCAGCAACTGTGCAAGGTGGCCTTAGCAGTCGGGGTTGAGGAAACGCTTTCTGAACCGGATCCCGGAATATTCATTGAGACCGTACTGGGTGAGTGAGTTGTGGCATTAAACACCTATCAAGTACATGAATACTATTGACATCCTGCTTATATGTCAGAGCGTACGGACTGCAGTTAAACAAGAGTGCCGCGAAGATCATGTGACATTAGAACTATCATAATTATTTGTGGATTTTTGTGAGGTGTAATGTTCGTAGAAAGTAGAAGTCACGATTAAACTGCACACAATAATCTGCCTCGACGGGAAAGCGCCATTAGCAAAACGCGTATGTATATGCACAAAAAATTTGTTCCGGTCCCCGGTTTACGTTGTCCACCAACCGTCTAGGCCAGGAGTGTTCACACATTTTGCAACGGGGGCCACATTTTGTGAGGTAAAAATATGTCGGGCCACATTCAGGCTGACATTGATAATAACAAAAATTACACACGTACGCAAAAAATCCCAGCCTGAATTTATTATTTCATGATGAGGCCGCGGGTCAGTTGGAATGGTAACGCGGGCCGCATTTGGCTAGTGGGCCGAACTTTGGACATTCATGGTTTAGGCTAACGATGGCGATCACGTAACTCCCCCCAACTTGACCTTGACGAGACCAATCGCTTAGCTTTATCGATTAAACATTTAGATTCATGTATCCGCTTTAGCCCCTTTAGTCGTGCTGATAATCTGCGGAGAAACTGCTGAAAACTAGGTTTTTCGCGAGCTCCTGCTCCTGATGTCTTCTTTGGGAATAATTCTTCAACTGAAACAGTCCCAGGATCCGTCTGTGTTCAGAGAACTTAACAAGTACATTAAGGTTGACACGAAACTTGCGGTAGCTGAAGCAACAGTACAGTTTTTTGATGGGTGTATTCTACATTGTGAATATCCCAAGCATTTTTGGAAACTACTCAAACGTATTGGAATCAAACCAACGAAAGCTGCCCTGAAACGTCATGCATTGAATGAACGTGACACCATAAATTCTCGAATTAACGAACTCAAGTCTAAGCGATGTATTCTCTCTGTCGCACTGGAGAGTCTATGCATTGAGGAACACGAGCAGTTCGTATCCTACGTTCAGCGAATCGGGGTACGGCAAGCGGAATTACGATTAGAATCTTTGCAAAAGCGGATTAAACCGAGTAAGCCACCGAGGTTCTTTTCATCTTACCCTGAAGTATCTTCAAATTTTCCTCTTTGCGTCCAAGTAAGGTTTCGCTTGATGATTTTTCACTAGGCTTGAAATTGTATCGACAAAGGAAGAAAGTTAAACGGTTAGATGTGGGTGTCAAATTTGAGAAACTTTCCCAAAGTAGCTATGCCTACGCTGTAGCAACTGAGCAGTGTAGCTAAACACTTGTCGCAAACGCCTTAGTTATAAAGGCTGTGGTAAGTGCTTTTAGACGGAAATTTTTAAACCCTTTCAAAAAGCTTATGATAAACAAGGTTGTTTACATCATATGAGGAGAGCGGGATCGTTACGATGGATAGATAGAATTATAGTAAAAACCACGTAAATGGAACAACAAAGAGACTGGACTAATATATATATATATATATATATATATATATATATATATATATATGTATGACTTGGCGGCGTCCGTATCTGGATTTGCCTGTCACTGTGGCGAGCCACAGGACGCCTGCGCCTACAGAGGGACCATGGATGGCTTGCGCTGCACCACCCATAGCTCCAACCACCCACCCCATATCCAGTGTAAACCCGAAGGAACAAGACCGGGAGGCATGTGGATGGGAGCCACGTTTCATCAACGGAGCCGGCCCACACTCCTTCATAGGCAAACACAAGCACGCTGTATTTGGGGAATCAACCGCGCACAAGGCGGTGGCTGGACCGTAGTCCGCTCCATGCTGAGTGCATGAAACCACTCTTCGAGCCTAACACGGCCACAAGGACCGTGCACCCCGTCCCCTCCAGCAACGACCAACTGTCTCCTGTAGCCAGTATGGACGAGGTAGCGGATAATAGACAGGTAGGAACTTGCACATCAAGCGCAGCCACACCGGGGATATCAAGAAACAGCCAATCACTTGGGAGGAATATAGCAAAGAAAATAAATCGGGTAATGCGTAAGGATACGGTGACAAAAATCTTAAATTAATGAGTAGATGAAATAACTTGTTCACAAAAGAATGCGAGATAAGTTCACGGGGTCAGAAAGTATATTTTACGGGAATGCCACAAACAAGAAAATGTTATCTAAATTAACTACAATTGGGTTAAGCGACGTGTGCAAGTTTATAGAAGCGAGTACAGATAGACATTTATATGAGAAAGAAAAGTATTAGGACAAAACTGAGAACCCACCCCCTGAAATAAATAGACTTAGCATGCAAGCACTTGATTAGTAAATCGAATGTAGCGTACCTACAACCACTGCGCCGGTTGTGCCTACGTTCCCTTGCAGGACCCGCTCGCCTCGCTGGCCTCGCTCATGGCTCACTATGGCTGCCTGACTCATGCACTCGCGACCGCATGTGCTACAGCATCATGCGCTCGATGTCGATGGAGTACAACCCATCGGTGCTTGCCGCTTCTTATCTGCATGTATGAAGTCTTTCTCCCGCACTTCGGCAACTGCCTCCGTGATCAGATCGCCCCATGCACTCCGATCAATCGCCTTCGATTCCTATGACCTGCAATCAAGATTAGAACGTGAGAGGCTCACTCTGACCATGTCCTGGTAACGTAACTTTGGTTTCCCCACGTGCCGCTTCGCAATACTCAGCTGACCATCAGAGTTGTTTCGGTATCCGCATCGAATCCATACGGCTCACATGACCGAGCCACCTCAGATGTCTCAGCAAAAGTACGCAGTCCACTGCATACATTCCACTACGACGCAACACTTCCGTGTCTACAACTCTGTCGCCCCAACCGATGCGTAAAATCCGTCGCAAACACAGCTGATGGGACCGCTCGAGATATCGCACATCCTGCCGCTACATCGCCCACGTTTCAATGCCGTCTAGAAAAACGGACAGTACCACGGATTTGTACACCATCAGCTCCATGCCAATGGTAAGCTGATGGTTGTTCCACACTTGGTACTCAAGCTTCCTGAATGCCGCCGCTGCCTTCGACACGCGGATACGCAGCTCACAATGTAGCTGCTGGTCAGTCGACCTCGCACTCCCAAGGTAGCAGAAGCGGGAGGTGGTTTCCAATACTTCAGCATCAATGCTGATTCGCGGCAATATTGAAGATTGCACCTCCGGTGAAGGCTGAAAGAGGCAGACAGTTTTGCTTGTGTTGATGGTGAGCCCGAAATTGGCCGCTGTCGTAGCCAGGGGGTAGCAGCGGGGGGCGGGGCGGCGGGCGGGGGCGGGGGGGGGGCGGTGTGCTTGCAACTCTCCGTGCTTGTCCGAAACAACGCACAATTTAGTCATCCGGGGAACCGCACCGAGGGAACAGATAGTTGTCTCCACAGACTAAGTTCTTCGCACCGAAAGACGTGGATTTCACAAACCCAGCAATCCAATACGGTAGGGGGGGTGGGGGGGGGGGGGGGGGGGGTGGGGGGGGGGGGCGGGGGGGGCTGGGAAGGGAGCGAGTGGGGACGGTGGGGACGGGGTGGTTAAGATATTAGGGGGTAGAATGTTGAATAAATTTATGTGAACGGATGGGTTGGATAGTGAGATGGTGGGAGAATGGGGGAAAGGGGGGGTGGGGGTTTGGTAACAGTATGGAATGGGGTGGGGAGATAAAGGGGGGTAGGTGTATTATGCAAAGTCATCCTGAGTGTCTCTCCATTCAGCTTGCACCCATCGCGGGGGGAGGGGGGGGGGGGGGCGCTGAATACCGTTGTATCAGGATCATTCAAAAAGCTTACAACTTACGCGGGTGAGGAAACCAAACGAAACCCAACACCAGCCACAAAGCCGAGTCGCGGTTTGAGGCGGGGGGGGGGGATATAGGGCAAAGATCCTGAAATGCAACAAAAAGTGTAGTAGAGGAAGGCTGGGTGTCCGTGGTCACGGGGGGTCCCGCTGGCACTTCTCCTGCAACTGACGAGC